AACATGCACCGGAGCCTTGAAAGGCAGTGACGCCGCACGAGCCACATCTGTGGCCTGCATCGGCAGCGCAGGAGGCAACATTCCACGTCCTGAATGACCCACAGCCACTACCCGAGCGGCCTCTACAGTTGCGGAGAACATTGAGTGAATTCACATGCACAACCAGAGGAAAGATTTACGGTACTGACCGCCACGTTGAGCAGCTGCTATATCTTTTTGAATTTGATGCTGAGACGGTCCCGGCTGGCCTGATGGATGTCCACTTGCAGGCTCGTTGAGGTTGATCACTATCATTTCAAGAATGTCAGCCATCGCACTGTCACGATAGTGTTGACTATATTGGCACACCATATTCCTCACGTGTGCTTTTTTTGGCATAGTAGTCGCGGCAGTCATCACAAAGCATCTTCGCTCCCATCCCATGGAAAGCAGACCTCACAGGACGTAGGCGTCCCTGATTTTGCCAGTTGACTCTAGGACATTTTGCTCCGCGTTCGCATCGGGTGGCGACCTGCGAAGAAAAGAGTGCCTCCATCGGCGCCAGAGACCAAGATGCAGCGATGACAAGAATGAGGAGATCGAATTATAGGCACATAGAATACTAGTAGCGTATTTTAGAGTAAGCCGTTGAGGATGACCTGGGCAAGGAGACCCGCCTGAGTGTATGCTCGTATGCGCGAAGGCAAAAAAACAGACTAGTGATTGTCCGGCACCGCAAGGGAAGCACGTGAGTGGCTGGTATCTGCGTGCCAGGAAAGGCAATCCACTACAGCAGCGACGCAGACTGCCTTGGTTATGTTCAAGACTTGAATATGCTAGACTCAAAGCTTTCTTCGCTCTCTGGCGCAGAGGTGCATGTCAGCAGCCATTCCAGATCCCCGCCAGCGCGTCATTAGATTGAGATAGATTGTACCGGACAATGCAGCGGAGCGAAAGGTTCAGGAAGCAGAATCTATGCAGTCATTGATTCAGCTGCCAGCGATGCGGAAGGGAGCAATGAAGCTGTTGTACCCGCGCTGCACCACAGTGGCCGCCAACGGTTACTGAAGTCAATCATGAAAGAATGTGAAGCAGCCACTGTGATGCAAAGAGGGTCCGGGCCCAGACTGCAGAGGGAAGCAGGCTGAGGAAGATGACAAGAATTTAAAACACCAGCTGAAGGATGAGGAGGCTGCAATGGGGATGGCATGGCTGGAGAATCGGAAGTGTCGCGCACCTTATCACGATGTGCACTGGTGCAGTAGATGCGCCGCAGGGTGCTCGTATGCGGACTTGCGCGTGTTGGTGAGGTGCACGGGCGTTGAGCGCGCTGTCGGCTACAAACACAGCCAGCAGATCCTGGAGGGGTTGGTGGCGCGGTCAGTGGAAAGTGAAATGTAGTAGGAGGCAGGGATGGGCACATGGGGGCGCCGGGACTGATGGCTTCCACCACGCTGCCTCGGCGGCAGTGCGTGAGGAACCAGCCGGTCTTCTAGCGAACATACACAACTGTATGCCAGCACGCGGAATGCTGCAGGTGTGTGGCTCGTAGAAATACATGCACAGGCACAGGGTGGGTGCCAATCATTTGCTGCGAGCACCACGACGACGACAGCAAATCAATGTTGTACCGGTGGATCTTCTCCCGCACCTCGTCTGGAATCTGGGCACACTCGTACGTGTAGCCAATAATCTGCGGGCGGTCGAACCGTCTATGAGGGCGATGAGACCGGTGCAAGGACTCGGAACAGAGCTACGTACGAACGGGATCCGGCTCCGGCGCTCCATCACAGCCTGCAGGAACGCCCACCTGAGCTCTTGGGGTACTGTGGCCACATCGATGCTCCGAACGTGATCTGTACTAGCGTGCACAGGCCTCAGTCAGCTCCACCATCGCACCCACACACCTGAGAAGCGGGAGCGACTCACGTAGAGCAGCGAGTTCGGCCCGTGGCTCTTGAGGGTCCTGCTCACCAGGTCGCACACCTCTGAGTCCACCTCCATGAGCTCGCTCTCATCCGCGCGCACGCCGGCGCAAGGGACTGGCTAGCCTGAGACGGTGTACGCGCCTGTCATCCACACGCGCGTGCCAAAGAGCAAGAGCGGAGCACTCCGGTGTCGAGAGGAGGAAGCCCTTGCACTGCGTGGACATGCTGTGCGTTTGAGACATGATGTCAGAGGAGAGGGTCTCGATGCGGTGGAGGTGTGGGGTGGGCAACGTACTTTTGAGATATTGTGAGCCATTCGAGGCTGAGGTTGTCATGTGGTTCAGCTGGAGATTGGCATCATATAAGCAAGGGTGGTCTGTGAGCGAGTTTTGCCGGTCCAAGTCGTCTGTGACCAAACTCGCTTGACGCACTTAAGAAGGAGGGCGTGGACTTGAACTTAGAGATGCTGTGTGTTGTCGGGATTTCAGGCTAAAGGGTCGTAAGCTTGACAATATTCAGTCACTTACTGAAGTGCTCAGTACAATATATATCCAGCACCGGATCGTGTCACATGTATATTCACAGATTATCAGTGTACAATATGAACATGCTGCTCAGACCTGGACAGTCCGCGCGATCACGTAGTATTGCAACCAGAACCTTGGTGCCCTAACCCTACGCTGATTCACACCAAACAATAAGACAAGTTCGATGATCCAAAGGATACGAACAGGGTGCCAGATGCAAAGATCAGGAAAGTCGCGTGAAAGTCGCGTTTTACGGGCGTCTACGCTCGGCCCGACGGGCGCTTCAAAGCTGACCTGTCTTGCTTTCCGTACCGTCCTGCCTCAGCCGCAACGGCCTCCCCCGTTGATTGTAATGCACATGCAGCGGTGCGCGGTGCGCGGTGCGGTGGCAGCGGAGCCTGCGCGCCCGCCGCCGCTGTGCGGGATCCAATCAAGCGGAGGCTTTTGGCACGGATCGAGGTAAATCTCGCCTCTGCAGGGACGTGATGGTCGTCACTCGCGCCCTTGGGCTCTAACGGGCAGAATGAACGGGCACCGCCCCAGTCGGCCTCTTTTGACGTCAGGCGGGCCGGGATGCTGGCTAGGCCCATACACAGTTTGACTGCACCGAGCGGCATAAATCGGATGGTTGGCTTGTGCGATGCGTCGAGCATCTTTGGCTGGGGTCTGGAGTGCCTGGCAACCACAAAATATGTGACGCAAGCGTAGTCTTGCTCTTCGCCGTGTGTTAGCTAGCCCAATGACTATGGATTTGTGGGCTTCTGCCGCGAAGGGTAGCGGGATGACTGTATGCAGCGAAGGTGACAATCATACGGATCAGTGCGACGTCTGGGACAGACATGCCAATGGGTACGATGCTCTGCATGCGCCGTTCGTAGGTACCATCCAGAGTAGCGTGTCGCGCACGGTCACGTTTCACCTGTCTATCGTGCATTCAGAATACCGCATCTACAGATCGCTTCAGGACAACAGAAACATGTCATCAACATGGGCACGCACCGTTTATTCCTGCTGCACCCAGGGTAATGGTTTGGACAGGTCGATGTTTCCCCCACTGATGATGATGCCGATGGGGCCCTTGATTCCCATCTCCTGGAACTGCTTGCTCCTGACCGCTGCGAATGCCGTCGCCCCGCTGGGCTCCACGACCAGTTTCAGCCGTTCCCACATGAGCCGCATGGCGTCTATGATCTCCTGGAAGAGGCAATCGCCGTTCAGAACGGTGGACGAACAGGAAATGTCGAGATGCGACCTCTGCCATACCTCATCGGTCACCGTGATGACAGCCTTGACCTTCTCCTGGATGATAGGGAAGTTGAGCACCCCCACGGGAGTCCTCAGTCCATCTGCAATCGTGTCCGCCTGCACGTCCTCGCGTCTCTTGCCCTCTCTCAAGCCCTGCGCGCAATCATCCGCGCCGGCCGGCTCGGCACCGAAGACACACACGCCGGTCCCTTCTGCTGCGAGAGCCGTCCCTGCAAGCAACCCGCCACCGCCCACGGGAGCGATCACCGCGGCGAGCGGCTCTGGAGCCTGCTCCAAGAGCTCCAGAAGAGCCGTGCCCTGCCCGAGAATCGTGTTGACCGCGTCATAGGGAGGAACGAACGTCGCCCCGGTCTCCGCCTGCACCGAGGCGAGCGTCCTGGCGCGCGCAGTCGCGTTGGGCTCGCAGAAGGTGATCGACGCGCCGTATGCGCGCACCGCGTCTATCTTGGGCTGCGCGGAGTTGTTGGGCTAGCCATGGCGCGCAAAGCGGCGATCAACCCAGTGCGTTCGCATTATGGACATGCCATTCGGTGGCGTGACGGCGTACCATGACTACATAGCACTTGACGCCTCGCTCCTTCGCAGCTAGGGCAAGGGCTCCGGCGTGGTTTCCTGCCGGGGTGAGTGAGCAATTGCAATGGTCTGACAGGCGAATACAAGTCCACAACCCAATCCACATACCGGAACTATGCGTACACACGCCCCTCTCCAGCTCCCCGGGCGACAGGCACGATAAGCTGAAGCTAGCGCCTCGGAACTTGAACGCGCCACCCTTCTGCAAGTTTTCGGCCATGAAATAGAGCGTGTTCTTCCCGGGCAGTGAGGCTGACAGAGACGAGGAGGTGAAAATCGGTGTCCGGTGGATCAGTGGCGAAATCGTCTCATGCGCAGCTAGTACAGATGCTCGCGTAAGTGGAAGAGGCGGCACAGCTTCCTTCGATATCGCCATGGTACTATCGTCTGTCTAGGCCCGCGAATGCTTGCTGAAAAGTTCTGTGTGACGTTGTACAGTCAGCCGACAGGTGCTCGAGTCACTCTTCTGCGACCGATGACAGCCGATGAGTAGGAGAGCAATCAGAATATTTCTCTGATAGCTTGAAGAGCCTTTGGAAGAGGCGGTGAGAACACTCCCACCGCGGTGGCTGTGCCGCCTCGAATGACTATTCCCTGTATCGCAGACTTGGCAGGCTGCTTGCATCTTCGTGCGAGATACTGATGGAAACTCTGGGGGTTGATGAGACCGATACTTGTGCCACAGTACTAAAACAGTAATGGGCCTAAGAAAAAGGTGAAAAATACATTCCCACTAGCCGACTTGAACGACTGACCTCGTCATTACCCAGGCGATCCGCCTATTGTACTAGTGACGCGCTCTACCAACTGAGCTAAGCGGGAGTTGCAAACGTTGCTTGCAATGTCAATTTAGACAACGTATCAAATGAAACACGCTTGGTCACACCAACCTGAGCCCAACTTGTATTTCTTCTCAGCTCCGTCGTGTCTCGCACTCAAGCTCACTGGTGCTGGGCTAATGGACTTCGTACTTTTCCTCGAGCTCTAATCGAAAGCCGGCGCCTTGTTGATACCTGCACTGGGCTTTGTGGTCTTCTTGACCACTGATCGTGGCTTGACACCAACCGTCGGCTTGGCCTTACACGCGGCTTGCTGTTCCTACCGATTCTTGCCTCTCCCTCGCCGCCAGCATCTCCTTGATTACTTTGCATTGAAATGAGATGACAAGCCTCTCATCACTGTTATAAGATCCTCGCCACTTGCGATGCCTTTCTAGCACTGCTACCAAGAAAGCCACACAGCATTCTTCCTCCCGCGATCTCCGCCTGACACGTTTGCGTTTCATCACAGGTACGCGTTGCTGTGTCCACGTTTAAATTCCGCAACCTTGAGCGTAGGCTCTAACAAAGCGTTGGGACAAGCAGCGTCGAGCTTGGTTTCGCTTGCTCGTGCTGTCACTTTAACGCTTCGACGAGTGGAAAGCAGGAGGATCAGTCTACTCTTTCGTGAATGGCCCACGAAGCATGTCCGCGCGGCATCCTAGACGAGACCGGTCGGGTTCGCCAACCCAGGACATGCGATCTTCTTTGCACCTTGACCGTATCAAGTGGGATGTGCTCGAAGCATGTGGCTCACTACTTGTGACATCTATGTGCACGTCATCCTGCTCGATTCGCCAGGTTCCTGCCGGCGTCCCATATTTGCCCGCCCGAGTATCTTGCAGGTGAGTTGTCAACCATTAAGACATATGCGGCGAACAAATTCAGGACTGCTTCCAGGTCAACGTCGTGCATCGATATCTGCCCTGGGCGGCCGCCGTCGGTTCTCGATTCGCATTTGATCGAGATTCTCGCTCAGGCTTCAATTGCATCTACCTGTTCCAGGATGCTCATGCATCCTTTCTGGTCGATCCGCGGCAGACTGCATTTTGTGCAAGGCCCCGTCGGCCACTCATTCTCCCGTGACACAGATTCGACACACCGGCATGGTGATGCGGCGGCGGCGTCCCTCATGCATGCATATGGGCTCTTGGAGGGCTGTCAGTTACACCAGGGTCAAGACGTTCATGAATACAACGCACACCCTTTAGGAATGGCGCCGCTGTGCGTATGTGACAGGCTGTCTGCGCAGTACTGTATTTGCGCTTTCGATTACTTCCGGACCGGCTCCTGTGCCATCTTGACTTCCAGGTGCATTGGAAGCTCGTACCTCACCGCAGCTGACCACTGTTGAATGGCAAGTTGTCACTGTTGGGCTGATTTCTCACTGCTTCTACGGCGTCTGAACCGTTTGGTCCGCACTGCGAAGCAGAAGAGTCAAAGTCGAGAAGCCCATTACATCAGCTTCCGGCAAACGCCATGCCAGTGTACCGCCTCGCTGTCCGACCGGGACGTGCATGGGCCATTAACGGCCTATTCTCCGAGTTGATGGGAATCCCGAGAGTTGTTAGCACATACTCATGGTACGTCGAGGTACGCGAGTGCTGGCTCGGCCGCAGGGCGACACTGCCTCGGAAGTTGGCACGGAGGAGGAGCGCAGTGACTCCGCATCTCCCTTGGTGAGTGATCATCTGCGTCTAAACAGAGACGAACATCGCTGAGGCGGCGTCAAACGAGATGGCATCTATAGGGCGAACATGCATCTATTGCTCGCTGATGCTCACGATCTGCTTCGCAGCTGACACGAATGCTGTCTATTCTCGCCGAGCCCTGGACCGTACGACGGGTGCCAGGCGAGAACGGGGAGCCCGAGCGTGCATACCAATCGGCGTCCTGCGAGATCTGGAGAGAGCACCGCCATCATACTGACTCATCGGAGCGCCAATCTACAGTTGCGGCCGGGGTACGTTTCGGGCAGGGAACGCTTGGTGTAACAGAACTCGCGGGATCGCACACTCGTGCAGACGGCCTCCTGCCGCATGGCTGGGATCAAGCAGGCTGTCCCGGCGGTGTACTCGCCACCGTCCTCGTATGTGTTTTGCAAACTCGTCTCGTCCAAGCAGTCATGCGTCGGACCCTCGCGCCTCTGTTTTCCGAACCAGTGCGTCGGATGGCCACTCCGCTTGCACTTAGAGCCTATAAAACCTCTGTTGGCTTGCCGCATTCCCGTCTTCCAATTCCCCGGACGTCTTCGCACTCACTCATCCACCCTCTCCTCCCTTCCTCTCCCCCGCCTTCTACCCATCTTCTGTCACCGTCGTCTGATACTTCCACCACCATGGGCGCCATGCACCAAAAGATCTGGCTTGTTACCGGTACGTCGATCACGCTTCTAGCCCACATCCTGGCCATCGAAGTTTACATCGTGCTTCTTTTCTCCTTCGGCGTTTGGTAGGCACTTCCTCTGGCTTCGGGAAGCGTCTTGTATTATCCATTCTAGCAAGAGGGGACTGTGTGATCGCGACCGCACGCAACCTCGAGAAGCTTAGAGCAACTTTCCCCGCTGCCGAGCGGAGTCGGTTATGTCTTCTCCAACTCGACGTGTCGGACAGCGCAGAGGTCGTCCAGCAACGCATGAAGGAAGCGCTTTCTCTATGGGGTCGCATCGATGTTGTCGTCAACAACGCGGGATACGGCGTAAAGGCTGTCCTGGAAGAGGGAGGGTGAGCATTCTAACCCAACAGATCTGCTGGAAGGCGCGAATCTGATCACATAACCCCCGCACGATCAGCTCTCTCGCCGCGCTCACCCAATTCCAAACCAACGTCTTCGGCGTCCTGAACGTCACTAACGCCGTCCTCCCGCACATGCGCGAGCGCCGCTCAGGCACGGTCGTCATTATCGGCAGCCGCTCGGCGTGGCGTCCTGAAGTGTCGGTGCGTCCTCTGTCCTCCCACCTCTGACATACGAGGCCGGTTGCTAACCCTTTGCCGTCCTCGCAGCCCGCGGGCTTGTATGCCGCATCCAAGGCCGCAGTACATGGTGAGTGCCACCGCGCCGGTCCCCCCTCTCCGCTTGAGTCGCACCATACTGACCCGCTCCGTTCTCCGCCCACCAGCGATCGGCGAGACATACGCAAGCGAGCTCCGGCCGTTCGGGATCCGCGTCCTCATCGTCGCCCCGGGCGCGTTCCGCACCGAGGGCGTGCACGCGTACCCCGCGACCATCCACAACCACGTCCCCGCATACGACGCGGCGCGCGACGCGGGCATGGCGCGCTTCGCCGCGCTCGCCGGACACGAGAAGGGCGACCCCGCGCGCGCAATGGAGCTCCTCGTCGACGTCGTCAAGGGCGAGGGCCGCGCGGCGGGCCGCGAGTGGCCGCTGTGGCTCGTGCTCGGGCGCGACGCGTACACGGACGTGCGCGCGAAGTGCAACCGGCTGTTGAAGACGATGGACGCGTGGGAGGACGTCGCGACGGACCTCGAGTTCGACTCCTGCGAGCTGTGAGGCGTCCGCGTCATTGCTCCCGAGCCACGCTACCGCCGCGCCGCAACTGCACTTCGGATACGGACCGACTGTGGTCGAGCCATGTCATGGGCTCGGACCCTATTTATCCCTAAATAACTAATTCCCGCACACCGCCCTCCTCACCCAACTCAGATTCCTCTCATCTTGCAACAGACCTCGTTACCCCCTGCATAGCACCTACTTTATATTACTCCCCTGATCATGGACATTGTCATCTAAAGTACTCTAGTTCCTAGTCCTAATGGCCCTCACCTTTGTAGCCAACACGCATTTGTACCCGCCTTGCACATGATTTTCTCGTTACCGTAGCGTACTACATCGCAATGTCATCCTGATCCCGACTTTTCAAAGCCCTTGTTCGCTTCACAACGTTGGGTTGTCTGCGAGCTACACACAGTCCCTCTACAGCGTGCGCCACATTTTTCTGAGACCGCTTGAGCAAAGACCGATATGATCGCTATGGTCCTGGTGGACAGTTGCGCGTCGATGTACTCGTCAATGGCATGCAATTTAAACGTATATAATACAACAGGATGGTAATGCCGACCGACAGAATCCGAATGCAAACGCCACACCAATATCTCCAGCCAAATAATCGTGAATGGTCGTGTTCGTAAGCCATGTATGAGCACGTCATGAGGGGTCGTAACCGTCGTGAACGTTGTCATTGCTTGTAAGCGGAGCCGAAGGGGTCATGAGGAGCGAAGCGGGCATCTCGAGTATGTCGTCTTGATGACATCCTCATTTGCCCAAGCTCGATCGGATGACGTTCGTCAACGTGTACCCGTCATCCTGTACGCCGGTTTCGAGTAAGCCACCGGCCACAAATGCGACAGCAGTCGCACAAGGAGAGAAGGAGGGCGCACCTGGTCGAGCGACCATGTGAAACAACCGGCCATACCGTTCTGCTTCGCGAACGTTGCCTTGTCACCGAGAGAGTACGTGTCGTCGTACGTCACGACCGTCTTGCGCGAAGTGTTGAACAAGTACGGCGTGTCACTGCAGTTATCCCAGCCTGTCCGCCACATTTAATATAAGCACGATTCCCGGAGGCCGACGCAATTGGTCAACTCAGAGAAGACGTACCCTCGGTGTAACCGTTCGCGGAAACGTACGTTCCTGAGGAGGTCTTCGTCAGGGCGCCTAGGGCGACAATCTGGTTGAATGGGATTTGTTGGCCGAAATAACTGCTCAAGTCCCCTGATGCCTCCGCGCGGACGCCTTCCTTCGTCTTCGCCTTTTCCTGCGCCTTGCTACGGCCATGATTACCTGTCGGCGCGAGCATGTTCGGCTCTCCGTTGTCCGTGCCATTCGTCTCTTCCTGCACCTCCTGCTCCTGCGGCAGGGGGCACGCAAGGCCACGCTCAGGGAGTCCAAGTACCTTCTCCTTGTACTCCTCGAGCTTGAACCCAGGCGGAGGCCGTGCAATGTGTTGCAGCGTCGTCTTCGTGCTCTGCGAGACGTACCCGTACA